TATATATATAAAAAGCTTAAAAAAAATAAAATGTCAAAAAAAGGCAGAACTGAGGGCTACAAGATTGGGTACTTCTGTGATATATTAGAAATACCAGAGTAGGCCTGAGAGAATGTGACCGAGGGCATCTCCAAAATGCACTTGTCAGACACATCTGGTAAAAGAAAAATTATAGTGCAAAATGAAAGTCCTTCAAGCAATGTTATGGGGGTTCTGTGTTTGTTTTTTTTTTAATAGGGAGCATTCATACTTTTTTGTTGTTGTTGCTAAAAAAAGTCCCCCAAACAAATATCTAATGTGTAGTAGAGAGCAAGAAAGGCTTCAAAGGACAAGAAAGAAAACAGGTCATTTCACAAAGCAAGAAAATAAAAATCAAAGCCTGCATTATTATTTTTTCAACTAGATGAGTAGATATGCTAAACTAAGGCCTTGTTTCTAAGAGAAAAGCTGTCCTGGTTTATTTGCAGTGAATTCAAAACCAGGTACTTAAATCGGTGCAAGAACCTTCCTGCAGAGGTATGTTAATTGGTTGAAGCATTTCTTACACTTCAGCTTATCCGCACAGGATGCCAATGCAAACTCAATCCAGACAATCAAGTAATAGATGCAGCTACAAAATTATTTTAACTAGACTCTCATTTTAACGTAGGGCAACTTCCCTGGTAGAGACATGGCCTTGGTAACAAATAAAGTAGTGTTTAAACCAGTGTTTTGATCTACATCCAGAATCTGACAGGCCTGGGGTCTTAAAATAGAGAGTGACAGGTAAAATGTATGTTGCAAAATATAAAGATCAGCCCTTCAGCCATCAGGCCTTCCAGGGACTGCGTGTTAGCTTTTCATTTCCCCGAAAGCCCAACAATAAAGGCTAAAATTGTCATCTTTCTGTCCATTCTAGTTCACTTTTAGTGTGTACATGCTAAGCACTCGACCCCCTCCCTTCCCACCTCCCCTCCCACGCCCCAGATTTGCAGCCTACTCATTCACAGTAGACAGAAATACGTATTTCCCAGCATTGTTGAAAACTTCCCTACAGAGGCTGATATGATTCCTAAAATGCAGTGGCAACAGCATGTGCCCTCCCTAAATCAAAGCAATAGGCACGGTTGGCTACTACAAACTGAAAGTCAGTAGCTCGGTTTCTTCTTCTGTGTAGGTATACACAGTATACTGCTGTACATCCACACCCACACAGAAACAGGGTGGAGAACCTGTTTTCTGGCAGTATATAGAAGTTAGGACCAAAGCACTTAAAATAAAAATCATCAAAGCTTTCATTTTGAAAATCACGAAGAGTTCCAACTTCAATTATTACATCAAAAACGCCATTAACAAGCATTAAGGAAAACTATAAAACCCTGTTTGAAAAACGACGCCTGCATTTTAAAGTTTTCAGGTAGGGAAACCCATCCTTGAGGTGATAAAGGCAGCCTATCCTCCCCCTCAGCTCCACATTTTTATGTATATAATTTATATATACAACTATATCATTATATATATAACTTATACAGCATGAGTGTGTCTTGGACTTCTTTCTCTAAGGGAGGAGGAAAGTCTCAGCTTTATGAGACAGATGTTAGTACCTGGTAGGCCAGATCCTACAGTTCTTACAATGCTAAATCTTGCCACTGAAGCCAGAGTAGACCTGTGGAGGAGAAAGACTGCAGTAGTCATCTCTAAACTATTAACAGAAAGAGACACAAATGTGACAAAAGGAAGAACATCCAAGCTTGATCTGGAAATGATCATTCGAGAACATATAGATTTAATGTTAATGAAAGACAGGCAAGACTTGTCAATGAGCAGTTATCTTGGAAGGAAATAATCTTCACTTTTCAAGACAAGAGTTAGAAAGAGTTATTGTCAAGCATTGTTTTTGCTCTTGGTATGTGGGTTTCTATGCAAGTGCAATTCTATCCAAAATCAGCAAGGAATATTTTAAGAGTGTTGAGTTAAAGGTGTCACCCAGGACATGAAAGGATGGAATGACAGGATGTGCCACATCCTGAATGAAATAAAGAATAAAAGCCTTTGATCCACTGGGTGCCAGCCTAGTAACATTAAATTATTTCCAATTTTTTCTTCTCCTTGCCTTTTAAATTTAAAGATTTTGACATACATTTAAGGGAACAGGCAGCGAAAAGGAAATACTTAAGCAAGTTGGATTTCCATCAGTTTCGTCAAAAAGCACCAATTATGACCCCTTGTACACAGATAAACGAACTATGTTAAATAGGAGGAGCAACCTCTGTGTTAGAGACAGCTAAAAAGCCCAAAGCATGTAGGGCCAAGTAAAAATGAGGGAGAAAGCCTGACTCTGTAGATATCAGAAAGGTCATAGATAAGATACACTCAATCACTGCAGCTATCATATTATTCAACTCCATTTTAGCCATACACCTTAGTGACTAGTTATCTTCTTACTCCTGAAGTTAAAACAGTTCCAAACACAAGGACCTGGGGGCTCCTCTTGCATTTGCGTTCTTCTTCGCCATCTGTGTTTGGTCAGTGCTTTCCACCTATTAAGTGAAAATGTGCTGGCCTAAAAAAACAATAAACCAAATTCCACAAAGTTTGAGGAAAATAAGAAAGAATTTTTTAAAAAGCATTTAATGTCCTCCGCCTTTGTAAAAATATATGTTGGCTTAGATTTCAGGTCCTGGAAACAATTTTTGAGAGATCTCATGGGTCTTCCAGGCTAGCAAACTTGTTTCCATAATATCTGTTTGGTCCCTGCACCTGTGGCACATCTCATGGTACGATACTGCTTCAAACTGGTTTGTTAAGGGTTTGGCGTTTTTTTAAGACTTCCTCCTCTCCAAGTCTTTGTCATGAAGAAGTCTGACAAAGAATGAAGCTACCAGAGTTTGAGAGAAACCCTACAGACCTGTCCTAGAGTCTGTCTTGCCAGGACAAGACTGGGATGAATTAGAACCAGTACACACTTAATTTAATTTAATGAATCACAGAAAAATTAATGTTGGAAGGTACCTCTGGAGGTCATGTAACCCTCATTTAAAAAACAGCTCAGTTAGATCAGACTGCTCATGGCCTTGTCCAAGACACTGAAAGAATCTAGGATTTCAGCTCATCTTTTCTTCACTTGCAAATTTATCCTGGTAATATAATTTTCTAGACTGAGTACCAGCTATTGAAAAAGAACAACTCTGGGGTAATGAAAAATACTCTGAACTCTGGAACACCCTTTTCTGTCAGACCAATCTTTATAAAATATGTGTCATATTTCAGGTTTGTCTTTATCTCCTAACAGGAAAAACAAGCCGAGCAAAGGTGCACTGAAGTGTTGTTTTGGTCTTAGAAGTGACTAAAATATAGCATCATGTGTCTTCATATTTGATATAGTATGAGTGAAACAATACATTCTTTTAGTTTAAGGTAAAACAGCAATGATTTTGTTGGAAAAACAGAATTTTGCTTGCCAGGCCTCAAGCTGACAATACGAAAACATGTTCAATAAGCATATTTTTACACATAGGTTCAGCACATTGGATTAGAAAACTCTTTATACTGGTGCTTCTTAAATGATTTTTCATTAGTCAGCTTTCAAAATAGAATCTTGTCATAGAGTATAGCTTGTCTCAATTAGATAACGGAAAAATCCAGAATAAATAAATTATATCAATACTGTAACACATGAAGTACATCTTGATCTGGAATATTCTTTCTGCTTTTGGTCTCCGCATTGCAAGAAAGTTATTGACATACTGGAGCAAGTCTACCAGAGAGCCACCATGTAGATCAGGTTCTGGAACACATGATAGATGAAGAGAGGCTGAGAGACATGATTCAACCTTAGGAAGAGAAGGGTAAGGTAGGTCTTATTGCAGTCTACAAATACCTAACAGAAAGTGTAGAGAAAAGAAGCTGGACTCTTCTTGGAGGTGCACAGTGGAAGAGGAAATGAAAACAAGACGAAGCATAGAGAATGCCTACCTGATACACAGAATTTTTAATTATTATTTTTTTATGATAAAGGTGGTCAATTACTGGGCCAGTCTGCACAGGGAGGTTGTAGAATTTCCATCCTTGGGGATATTGAAAACTCAGCTGGATATGGCCCTGAGCAACCAGCTCTAGTTGGAGGTTGGCCAAGATGGCCTCTGGAGGCCCTTTCCTACCAGCATGATCCTCTGATTGACTGCTCTGCTCCAAAATATTGGTTAGCTATTCACAAAAACTCACATTTGTTTTAGTTGCTTCCTCTACATACACTTTTTTGGTGAGACTTTTGTCTCAACTTGTTGTCAAATGGCCTGAAGTTCCGCGGCCTTGAAAACCACAATCTGACTTTCTTAGAATGGCTTCTCTTTTGCAAATAGGCATAAATCTGGCATGAAGGAAGCTGGGTAACTTTTTCCTCAGTTGTCATCAAATCATCTATTTACGGGTTTGCTCCCAAGAAGCCTTACAGAGAGGATTAGCCTTTCCTCATTAGTCCGCTTCTACTCATTGTTTACAAATAGAGGACAACCGTACAACTTGAGCAAGGAGAACAGGCCCAGAAAGGATCTAGCTACTACAAATTACGTAAATTTTAAGTGTACAGCTTGAGATATCTGTGAAGAAACAAAACTTGCAATCATAAAAAGTGAATCCCAGAATGTGTCACTAATTAGGCCTTTCCAAAATGGAAACTCCATCTACAAAATACCAGCTATGTTTCAAAATTTTAGTAATGACTAAGACACTTGCATATGAGCATCCAAAAACTGAAGTGCAGAGATTGACTGAGAACACCATGCATACAGGTGAAAAACATCTCCCTTTACAAACAGAAGAAGTGGTCCTAAAGCTTGAAATTTGGCTTCAGAGTTCAAGACCTGCTGCAGAGAGAGCCTGAGAAACCTGAAATCTGATTAAGTCTCTTATCCTCCTTTTCCTTATAGTTTTCAGGCTATTTGGATCCATGATTTAGCTGTAGGTCTGCCTCTAGAACAAAATAATCAGACTTTTCAGTACATTTTTTTCCATGGAGCCCTTGTTCTGCCATACTTACATAAGATGTCAACAAGACTATAAATGACAGCTGGAAGTAAATAAAAAGTCTTTCTTGATTTTTTCCACTTTATATGGAGTCTGGTACTTCAACTGTCACTTAGTAATTGAGGTTTGTAGACTACCAACAGCATGTCTAAAGGCAGGTGTGTTCAGAGGTTAAAGGAGGATATTTATACAGGTTCACAGGCAATGAACATCATAGTGATGGGTTTGAGAGCACACACTTTAGGACACTACACTAATGAAATTCTTGGATTCTCTCATCCTTTTTTTTAATCTAATGCATGGACTGGATGCTCTACAGTTTCACACAGCTGAGGTTTCAGTTCCCATTAGACATCTGGCAGGATGCTCTATATATATTCCAAAAAACAAATTGGATTCTAGGGCCCTCAGTCCCAGTGGAATAGCTGGGTGGAATGGCCATAAAAAGTATGCAAATACAGAAGTCGAGAAATACGAGATTGTCAGCAAGCAGTGCTCCGCAATTTTAAATGTATACATATATATATTTAAGCATATATATATATATACACATATAGAGTATAGTTAGTTTTAAATCTTTGGAATAAACTCAATTTTCGTTCTCCCCCTCTTTCTCTCTGTCTTTCTTTTCTTTCTTTCATTCTCTCTCTTGCTCTCTCTCATGCTCTTACCACAAATGTTACATCATTGTCCCTAAATGATGGTTAGATTTTGGTCCATATTTCATGCCATATGGGCCAGACATCATATTTCCCCCCTGTCCCCAAAGTGTTCAGTTGACAGTCACAGTGTTTTGTGAAAACTGTGAGGAAAAACAGCATCTTTAGAGTAAATTCAATCTCTCACTGGAACCAAAGGTTGCAAAATGCCGAGAATTCAAGTGCCAGGGATCCCGGTGACGGCTCTTAAACATCTATCGAGTTTCTTCTTTGTTCTTTTGAGCCCTAAGAGTACAGTTTTACCTCCCAAAACATAAATTAAGGGAAATATTTAACAGTCAGTGAGTCAAAACAGTCAAAGAGGGGCAGTTGGCTAATAGAGTATAAAAGAGCAGCAACCATTTGTGTACCACACGCCATTTTGTTTCATTTCTAGACACATCTTGTAGGCATGGCCCCAGAATATACAAAATATACAACCTAATGACCACCTGCCTGCTTGCATAGGCCATTTTATGGTCCTAAATGCAGTCTTTGGAGTCAGGGCCAGTGCCAAATAGTTTCAAATGCAAGTTATGGTAAGATAATTTTTTTTGTTTCTTATTTGTAATGAAGACTTTAATCCACCTTGAGCCAACAAAATCAAATTATCAATAGGACTGAAGGGTGAGCATGAGACCTCCACTTCTCCTTGACAGTTCACACAGTAGGCCAAAATGGACCTCTAGGTTAGTAATACTTTAGACTAATCATTTGGAAAAGCCTCACTGCTGTACGTAAAATCCAACCCTTCATTCACTGTTCACACTGTTACATTTTTTCATATAGGAGTGGGCTACAGCATTAACTTGAGGAATGGAAAAGGAGGACTTTGATAATTTCTTTAAAAGGCTGATGCTGAATGAAGCCATTGTACTTGGAAGAGGTTCGCAATTTCCCACTCGGAGACTGGAGCAGGATTTTTGGCTTGGTTTTTTTGTGTGTAAGATGCTCAACAAACACTAGCTTTAAATTAAAATGTCTGCAGGTGCTCTTTAGACAAACAAAAGTCTAATGTTTTGAACCGGTTAACAGAAGAAGAGCAATAAAAAGCACGTAATTCATCACTAAGTCACTGTGGCTTGTGGCTAACAGGCTCACATGATGTGGAAGGAATCCTGTTGTCATGCCTGTGTGGCCAGTCCCAGACCGATATCCAGGTGAAGACAAAGAGTTCTGAAGATCACTTGTTTATAGAGAAAAGAGAAAAAATGTTTAAGCTTCCAAATAAGCTTTTAAAGTTTTTTGTTCAACAAATAAACAAGATGTCCTAGCTATGGCAATAAGGTGAGGCCTACAGAGATATTAGGCGCTGTTTCTCAGGGGTCTATCCCTTGGCCACTTAGCCATCATGGCAGCAGCTTCCAGAGTCCCTAGTGCATATGTTGTGCAATAGCCAAAACAAAAATTAAAACAAAAAAAACCAACAAAAAATACAGTCCTCCGTGAAGTCTACATAAACTCAGGCCAAAAAAAGGATTTTTTTGTGTCACAAGTGTCACTCCACAGTCTACTGCCATTAAGGCCACCGGTATGGACTTAAAAGGATCTCAGTAGCTCAGTCCTAGGAAGAAGAACCAAAATCAAGACAGGTCAAAGTGTCTGTGAGAAGTCTGACGCACTGAACATTAGGAATCCTCAGACAAAGAACAAATGAACCAAGAGGTTAATTTTGGCTACCAAACTGGGATTTGGTTTTCTAGGTCATTGTTTTTCCCCCCATCTATTTAAAAAGAAAGTTAGTGCTACAAGTATGCAACTTCAAGATGACATATTCTCCTACTGAGTTGCACTGAGAAGCAAGTTAAATAAGCCCCTCCTACTGCTGTCCACCTGCAGGGAAGCCTCCTCCATTTTCTTTGATTTCCGTTGGCAAAACCAGGAAACAAATCCAAGAGGGATGAAGTACTATAAGCAAATGTTCCTCCTCATTGACTTCACCTCTATATCACTTCCTCCCCTGCATCTTCTCCCATCCAGCTGGGGCAAGGCATAAAGAACCGATGTATGTATCGAAGTATAACTGGGTGCATGACAGTGTGAGCCTGTGGTCTCCGTACAGAGGATTACACGTGATCAAGTTCTCTTCTCCTGCAAGGTAGCGTGTTGTAACTTGAGTTCCACTTCCATCTCACAACACTTAGCTTGGACAATATCCATGCCAAGCTAACTGATATTTAGATGTGTCTCTTCATGTGGAGAGCGAGGTGATCAGACCTGGAAAAACACCTGCAAAATAAAGCAAGTAGAAAATGAAATAAATACAGGATTTGGGGAATTTTTTCCTAGTCTTCCGAGTTCCTAGTCTTTCCTCCTTATGTACAGTAGGAAATATATATCCAAGTTTAAAGACATTCTTTAAATCATCCATGGATCACCACCAAACCCTGTGTCATTGACCTCTGTGACCACAGATGGCCAACTATCCTGGCTCTTTGGCAGCTAAATAGACTACTCTTCTCCCTTCTCTGTTCTTCTCCCTCCCTCTTCTTCCTCTGTGTCAAACATCAAGGAAGAGTGCTCATCTATGCACCTGCAGTATGAAATCAAATACTTGGTATAAGTGTATATATATAAAAAAAAAACACAAACAAGTGAGTTTCGCTCAGGCACTCAGCAATACCATTTTTTTAAAACCCCACCACATTTCTCAGGTGCTCAGTACCTGCAACAAGCACTGAAGTATGATGCCAGTGTTGAAACATAAATTCTCATTTCTAACTCCCAACTGTAAGGAAAGGTGGTTCAGGCTACGTATCTCTCCCTTTCTCTCTGCTGGGAATCTGGGTGGTAATTTGTGGATGTTGATGAATGCTACATCCTTGAAGAATGTTGAGAGAAGATAAGGTATTATGCTTACTGTGTAAGAGTGAAAACTGAGAGACAGAGAAAGCAAGGAAATAGTAAGTCACACAACAAGAGTGGTAAAACCAGAAAAAAACGTGTCAGGAATTCAGCTTTCAACTTCTATCTTTCTCCATCTCATAAGAAAATGTAATGTTTTGACATTCTCAACAAGTAGACGGATGCTGATGAGATGGACTTAGAGCAGCAACCCTAGAGAACTAGCTGAGTTTTAGGGCTAGCCTAAATATGCAGTTAATTGAGAATAAGGTAGGGCATGAATTTGAAATGAAGCATCTATTCTTGATTAACTCTCTCTCTAAAGGCTTATGGCTGCCTTATTCTGAAATGACTTAATGCACTTGGGAAGTGGGTTAAGATACTTGACGTAAGACACATTTACTTCAGGAGAAAAGCAACCTCACAAAGAGTTAATCAGGTACTGCTATTCTGGAAGAGCTGCCTTATAGTAGACATGCTGCAGGGCACTCACAGCAGGAGGAACAGCAGCCCAAATTCAGGTGCTTCAAACCACCAAGATACTGTCAAAGTGATCAGAGGAGTAAGTTTTCAGGAGGACAAGTGTTTTTCTTCCCTGTCATTCAATATGTACCCCATTTTATCAGGACTTGTCAGTAAGCAAGAGAATTTTTTCGACTTCATACCTATTGGAAATGAGATGGAAAGTGCCAAGCCGTTTCATCTCTCCATCACGGTGTCATTAAAGACCTGAATGGCACCAGAGAGCAGGACAAGAGAGCAGCGGCTCTGGTCACCTACCGCAAAACCTTAAAAAGGAATCTGACTGCCAGAGCAGCAGGACTCATTCACTCTCAGAAGTTAAACTTCTACTAGATGCTTCAAGTTGAGCACTAAAACCGAGAGGTTTTCAAGTTCCCTGCAAATGTTGGCTTGCCTTCTTTCCACCCTAAGCCACAAGACGCTGGCTTATTTATTTTTACTAATAGCAAAAAACATCTATTATAAACATCACACAAACCCCCACATACCTGTGGCTTCTGAGTAAACTGTTTTGGTAGGCTCTGAGGGCGCCATGAAAAGCTACTTCCAGAACTGACTTGCCTAGAATGTCTTTTCACCGCCTCACAGATTTCGAGTATAAAAGGGCCACCGATACTGGTCCAAAGAATAGCCAAGTGGCTCATTGTGAGAATCTGAATAGTTCATACAGGGGCACTGAATGCATTTCCCAGAAACCAATAGTTGAGTATTTCATATTTTTCAGAAAGAAGGTAAAAGAAAAAATTGAACTACTCAGGAAAAAAAGTCAAAAAATCATCCCAAATAAAAATCCCCATACACTCAATCTAAAGGCAAACACCCAGAGGATGAACACCCTAACCAGAGAAAGGCTGAGAAAGAGAAGAACTGTAAAAATGAAGAGATTTCAAATAGTTAGGGGAACTTTTCCATCCTGCTGACAGTATTCCCTGGCACAGGCAATATATCTGCACCTACACACAGAGAGCAGCAATCAAGAGGTGCATTTTTAAGACAAAGAAACCTCTTAAGAAGGCAACTTTTGCAAGACAAGCTAGATGCTTATCTTCTGTGGATGAGCATAGCTCTGCTCAAGTCAGCTGTTCTCTGCTGATTTGTAGCAGCTTACAAGGGGGTTAATACCCTCAGAGTGACAAAAATTAAAAAGAAGGACTTCAGAATAGGATGGAGACTGCATTCCTCCGAGCTCCTACATGAAGCTCAGCAAGACAGACACGAATCTGACAATGGACACTTGGCTTTCAACACAGTGGGCTCAGCACAGCTAGAATTTTCTAGCCCTAGGGTGCCAACACACACCCTTGGACCAACATCTCGTCAGTCTAAACTGAGAAAGCAGCATGCTCTGGCTACAAGGGCTGCCAAAACAAAACAACAGCTTGAGTGGCTGCCAAAAAGACATGCACCAGCTGGCACTTCAGTCTAGGACTAGTCATAAGACCACCACCCAAGCATGGCTTTTCCTCTCTGATTGTCTCTATAATAGATGCAACTCAGGAAGAAGTATGCTGAGTCATAGCACAGCAAGATCTGTTAGAAATATGGATTCAACACATTGCTTCACATCAGTAACCACAATATGAGCATCTAGCATATTTTTCAACCCCAGAGTATTTTTTATAGCTGATAAAATGGTACCATAATTGCTGGTTTATAGCTAATAAAATGGTACAATATTAACTCTTTGCATTCTCTTGCTGACTAATTTAGTTAGTTCTACCTCTTGGTAAGGCTGGTGGATGTGAACACTTATTTTCAACTGTAAAAGAGTCTTCACATAAATTTGTATGTAAATCATGCTGTCAAAAAACCCTATCGATTGGTGGACACTTTTTTTCCCCTTAGGACTAGAGGCAGCAGTAGAAGAGGCTCCACAGGACAAGCTGTGAAGGGAAACTCCTTTCTTCACAAACTGAGAAACAGCAGCTTGCTCGTCTTCACTCCTGCCCATGAGACAAGACCTTGTTCCACACCTCTGGCTCTACGCCTCTTCCAGTTCCAGACTAGCTCTGCACAGGGAATGTAGGCCCATCACACTCTCTCCCACCACCCCTCCCCCAGTGCAGCTCTTCCTAGAAAGGACAGTTTACGCTAGAGTAAGATACCTTAATTCTGACAGTCATACAATGATGCACGATACATAAATTCCCTGCTCTCAAACATGATGCCTTCCTTTTTCTTTTTTCTCTTATCTCCTTAGCAACACAGTACTGCTTGGCACTGAGGCCTCTGCAGAGAAAGAGGGAAGGTAGCTATGATGACAATATATTGCTCAGCCATCTTTCTCACCAGCTGTGGATTCTCCACTGCGGAATGTGTCCATTCCAGCTAAGCATGCTCTTAGCTTGCTGTTAAAAAGGAAACCATGCGCATGCACACACACACACACACAGAGGAATACATACAGCCTGGCATTAAGCTGCCATCTCCCAAACACGTATTTAAGAACAAGTGAGTGTCACTGCCTCGTCCTCCTCTTCCCGTTGCAGTGCTGAGGGCTTGCACCGTGTGAGGAACATAGCCTTAGCCTATGTTTCTGAAGGGCAAAATTCCTGGGGAATGCTAATAATCAGCGTATCTCTGGTGTCTGGAAGGCACTAGGGACTTGTATACCCCTTTCCACACCACTTTAGCTGATTATTCCTTCTTCCTCGCTGCCACCAAACCACACACCATTTGCAGTACATATGGTGCTACTCAAACCAGCGGTAGTTTGCCAGCTATAATGGACAACGTGATCTGTGGGCTGCATGGTGTTTGGATAGGGCTCGGACAGCAGGAGGAGAGAATCACGTCTTCTTATCTCTTCTGTTTTAAAAATTGACCTGCACACAAGGGGACACTAATACACCTTTGATGCTGGCCAGAAGGTCAGAGATACAAAAGCATCTGAAAATAGCCTGGGAAGGGAACTGTAGCCAGACCATGTGCACAACATTGCCATTCTTTGCTATGTGAATCACTACTTTCATGCTCTGATTGCCAAGGTAAGGCCTTTACTTCTGAAGAACAACAGGCACAAGTTTCGTGCTATGTCAGTGTTGTTAAAAGAGCTACAAAAGTCTCCTTAAAGTTAAACAAGCCAGGGTGTCTGAGGGAGTGACCACAACTTCTGTCAATAATGGTGGGTAGCAAGTCAAATATGGAGAAACTGTTCCCCAGCTGGGAATCCAGACTCAGGAAGGAATGTCTTTAACATTAAAAGTCTGTCTAAATAGCTAAGGACAGATTTAAGCACATGTCTCAGTGCTTGCTTAAGGCAACATCTGCAATGGGCGGTAGCAGAGAGATCTGTGAATGGGAAAAGAAGGAAAAATAGTGGTATGGCAGAGAGGGCCAAAAGAACAGGCGCTGCCACTCCGTGAGCTTGCAACAACTGACTGGGAGTGTAAAGACAAATCTGCTTCCCACCACCACACACAGATGGTATGTGCATGGAGTTTAGCAGCACACAATCTCCAGCACTCTTAACTTCTATTAATTAATATTTTTCCTTCATCTACAGATTCAGCTGAAGAACAGAAAATGCATTACATGGTTGCAGGAATGTATCTCTTGACTGGCAAAGAAAATACCTAGGTAGGCAGGGATAATATGTAGAGGGAGAAGAACGGATACTTAACAAAGGGCTGAAAGGGACTAAGGAGTTGAAAATACTGACTGTATTTCTTTAGATCTTTGCAAAAAAATATTGTCTGTCCTGATACAGACACTCTGGGGCTTTGTGCGTACGTGCGCACGTGCATTTGTGGGGCCAGGACTGTTAGTTTGTTCTTCAGAGGAAAGAAAAGAGAAAGGCAATGCCTTACATTGAAATCAGAGAATATAACTGTTCTCCTTCACAGAGACACTTTTAAAAAAAGCAAAATTCCAGAGGTCCCTACTTGCCTTATCCTGTCCCTCATTCTGAGCAAACAAAAGATAATCCAGGGACAGAACAAAAGATAATCCAAGAGGAAGCCCTCCGTGGAGGAAGGGGGACAGGAAGAGGGGAGACAAGGGCAGAAGAGCACTTAAGGAGATGAAGCTCTTGGGAAGGCAGGATGTGAAAATGATCGAATTTCCTTCCCATAAAAGGATGGGGTCCCTTGTTTATGTCCCACACATCCTCTCTCCACACATGTTCTCTGCTGGTCTGGTGTACCCAGAGGCTTCCTAGAGCCTTTATTGTATTACAAAATGTTTCCTTATCAGAGCAGAGAACCTTAGTGCTGCATTAAAAAGATGGGTAATTTTCTTAAGCCTCTTTTAAAAATATATATAAATAGGATTAGCTGGATAACATGTTCAGATGCAAGCACATTATTTGATTACTCAATAGTGGATCCTGGTCTCACCCAGGGCACTGCCAATCTTCAGATGGGGGGGTGCAAGGGGGAGAAGTGCTCATTGTTCCATCCTGTCAGTGCTGTCAAGAGTCATTACAGGGGTAATTGCTTTTGCTCCACCCTAATTTCTTATTAATTGGAATTGGAGATGGGGAGGAGGGGTTTCTTTTGGTTCTGTTTCTAAATTCAAATAACCCAGCTCTCAAAAATGCTCAGCATCAAGCAAGGACGACCAGATTTTTCAGACAAGCTTATCATTCATTCAAGCTGCTAAAGCAGTGAGGACTGCAAAAAGGAATTGGCAGTGAATGGCAGCAACCACAGCTCTCACTGGGTGCTACTGGCTGCTCAGCTCACCAGGCGAGACTGGCCCCTCCTTTCTGAGTGCCCAGAGAAGGACTGTTACGTGGCAGGCTCTTCAGGAACCCTGTCTCTAAGCACTTGTCACAGGTTTTTAAATTTGGGCCCACACAGAATGAAGGTGCAGAGTATTTCCCACATCAAATAGATGTCAAGGGTGAGATTTAAATGTGTAGGAAAAAACTTGACTAATTAGCAGCAATGTGCAGACATCACTGATCCTACACAAACTCCATAGACTTGAATTGTAAGATGCGCTTAAATCACTCTTATGCTTTTGAAAACAATGCCCTTTGCTGTCTTTCATTGACTCTCCCCTGTAACATCTGGGGAAGCATGGAGCCCTGGACTCAGCTGTAAGAGAAGACGATGATCATACAGATATTAACGGCTTTTTTCCTAGAGATTTCCTTTAGATTTGGGGCATTTGTAGCACAACAGCCACACCTGCTCCCCATCCTCCCTGTCATACACCCAGGTATTTGTGAGGTTCACCCTGCCAAGATGCAGGCAGCCAGCAGCGGTGCTTGGGGTTGTCATTGAAGCAGAGCAAATAGAAGGAGCTCTGCCTTTGTAAGGGCACCAGGTTCATAGTATGAGGAGATGGAGAGCTGTTTTGTCAAGAAGTCCATCACTGAAGTGGTCTAGGGACCTCTGGATGTCTTGTCTGCTTTAAGGGTATTAACAAGAGCTGCCCCATGGACTGAATCCTGTGTCCACAACAGACATTGGCACATTTTGGTCAGACTTACACCTGGTCCCACATCTTTCTCTGTGCTGTGGGATGGCAACAGTTTAGGCTGCTTAGGAAGTACTGCCCCTCTGCCAGTCTGCCTGGCATCTGAATCAGAGAGGACAGGGGCAGAGTGGAGGGTCCCTTCTTGGCCCAGGGATTGAGGCAGTGGGACGGGAAGCCAGGACGGGCTCCTCTGCTGAGAGCCAGGTCTCTTGTGTCTGGAAGCTGGCAGATCTACATCACTCACAAAGTCCACACGTTGCTTGAACACCATGTTAGGAGGCTGCATTACCTGTCACAATGGTTGCATTTAAAGGGCTTTGCACCCGTGTGCTTTCTGTAATGCCTCGTGAGCTCGTCGCTCCGTGCAAAACGCCACTCGCACCCTTCCCATGAGCACTTGTAAGGCTTCTCACCTGCAGAGGGGAGGAGAGAACAGTCAGCGTGGTCGCGGCATTACTGAGCACTCAGCTTGTAAGCCCTGTGTCCTCCCACCTCACTTCTGTCCCACTCGGGCAGGTCAGCCCATCATACAATTCATGGCCAGCGTGGGATGAAAACGACTTAGGGCTTATGATGCGTTGTACTGAGGATGGATCCAGCCCAAATTTTACCGCCACTACAATTCCTGCACAACCTTATTTCCCATTTCTGACAAAGCCAGTCAATGACTTTTGAAAGAAACCCTCAAAACATCCCTCAGATGCCTGTCCTGTAGTGTGGCTGGAGCCTGATTTTCAGTCAGCTTTTCAGCTCACTTTACCCTTGGCAGACGAATTACTGTGGTACCTGTGAGTGGCTGTAACAACACCTGAATACACTGCAGGTGTGCACTACTCCAGAGTGACTGCTGCCATTCCATCGCATGTTTTACCCCAGCTGCCAGTTACCCCTCGTGTGGCCACACTCACATCTGTTCCTCTCAAGCTTTCAAGCCCTCTGCCCCCAGGAATGCATCTTCTTTAGATGCTTCTGACAGCAAAAACTGTTCCTTGGTTCAAGAAATTATGCACCAGGACAGAAAGTGTGAGAGGAGAAACGTTTTCTTCTTTGTATCAGCTAGTCCACCAGGGTTTTTACAAATACACCTTTACCAGCTGTTATTCTGTCCCAAACTATTAACCATAACACTAAAGGCAGTGATACAATGCAGTGATAACACAGGAGAGATTCCGGTCTGCTATGTTCACATCTAGGTATTTTCTAATACAAACTAGTCTCTGCGGATCAAAGTCTGCCATGGTGTAACATCTATGGAGTCATTAACACCTTCTCATGAAGAATTCCAAGGTCTTATGCTTCCCCTTTTCTTATTCAGTGCACGTGTATCCATGTGCAGGCAAATTTACCATCTCCTCCCAGAACAAATGCTCCAGTGCATCTCCTCCTATAGAAACTCCGTGTCGCTATTTCCCACGCAGTCAGTACCATATGGATGCATAAGAAGAGGAAGGAGTTGAGATAAAACTCAGAAAAGAAATCACATTCACTAAAAAGCTTCTAAGAAGAAAATTGCAAACAGGGAGGGAATTATTACTTATTTGTTCTCAGAACTGCTAAGAGGGTGATCTTAAAAAACCCACCACTGACCAAACTGAAGTTGCAGTCTGTATGACTTCTCTATACCAGTCACGTGAAATGATCTCTCGGCCGCAGCAGATAAATTTCTCAGTGCAGAGACGTAGATTTCTATATTTAGCATGCCTATTCAGCAAGTAATGGAGTGAGATCTGATTATGGGAGACCCATGTATTTCAAGGTGACAAATTGGAGAGGCCAAAAGAGCAAGAAAAATGAAAAGGGCAAGAGAATCGCATCAAAATACATGGCGGGGAAAGCTGCTCTCTGGCCATTTTATTGGCCTCAGAGAAGTTTCTTTGTCTCAGTAGTTCAAAGATTCACTGAACTGAAGCAATGAAGAGGGGGCAGTAGCCATCAAGACTTCAGCAAAATATCCATTTGTCCTGCAGTCCCCAAGTATAGAAAGGCCAGCCTAGACGTCTCTGCTGTGTGCTGCATTCCACCATGGGAAAATGCCCAACAGGACAATGGACTGAGCCAATGATACCATCATTTCACTTAGACTGTGGCTGCCTGGTCATCTCTGCAGACTTGTCTTTTGTTCTTTTTTTTTTTTCTTTTAATGACTTCTTCAGGGGAAAAAAAAACACAAAAAACCCAAAAAGCTTCTTGTTTGTGAGCCAAGTGCTGGTGTCTTGGTTCTGGGCTGGTGACTCAACTGTAATTCAAACACTGTCACTAGTGTTGGCTCCAGACACTAAAGCTGCAATTACAGTGCTTTTCCCCAGCAGCCCTTGACACTCTACCTGGCAACACTGCGTCTCCTCGCCCCTTCTCAGAGGAATGGGAATTTTCCCCAGCCCAAGTCATGTCTACGACTGTGCACTGGTTTTCTCTGAACGGTTCATCTATTATTTTTAAAAGTTGTGAGTAAACAAGCCTCGGTGATAATCCAGCTTCCTCGGATCTCTGACGCTCTCTAGTGCCTACCTTAGAGCGGAGCCAGCGAGGCAGACAAACCGCCTTACGGCACATGTTTGCTACACACGCTGCACAGCAAACACAGAAGACAATTGCTCAGCCAGATCTGAGAGGTACAGCCTGTCTGAAGGATACAGTCACCTACAGAGCAGAAGGGTGAAGGCAAAACATCCTGGGCTTTCTGTGAGTCAAGGGCCATTAGGACCGAAGCTGAGTTTGGCTTGTTAACGTTTGTCAGGAGCTTTGAAAATGTACAGTGCTATATATAGGTTACGAGAGACAGAAACGCCCAGCAGGATTACTGGGACACCCATGGGATCTACATATCTCTAGTTACTTGGTGCAGGGGCTCCTCTCTCAAGTGTTTCTGCTCCAGCCTTGCACAGCCCTGAGCTGGGTTTTGCTTTCAGATGCTTTTCCTCTGTAACCCAAGCCCGGTTCCACAAAATGTCAGACAGTACCTCTTTGTGCTCCTGACAGCACGCTGGCATGCAGTGCTCTGTGCAGCACGACAAATGCAGAGGAGCACAGTGACCTTTAAAGCCATGTCAGACGGCAGCTCCTTGACCCAGAGACCTCGAAGAGGTTACATATCCTGCCCTCCTGCAGCTCCTCAAAAACATGCGAGGGCAGGAGGAGAGAGACCTCCGTATCTCTGCACGTGAAGACTGAGAACAAACTGCTTCTTCAATGGCTGCTTTCACCTTCGCCGAAGATGAAACGAAAGCGTATCTTGCCACGGTGCACATATGTAGTAAGCATGGAAACCGAGAAGCGGGGGTGGGTGCTCCTACCTCACTACTGCCAATGGCAGGGGGAAGAAACGGGAAGGATCCTTTCCATGTGCCAGGCTGCTCTTCTGTTGTTGCAGAGGATTAGTGAGAATAAAAAGATAGATGGTGAAATCCTCCTCTGCTGAAGGCAATGGCAAAACTCCCACTCACTTCTACAGGGCCAGAATCTCCCCCTTTTCAACAAATTAATTATGAGCTTCAAAATCCAATTAAAAATAGGAGCATCGCAGAGCTGTGCCACACTGACTTTTTTCAGGCTATAATTCCTCAAAATTAATAACCGCACTTAAAACTCGTGCCTGTGAGACACTCCCAGGAAGGAGGCTCTACTCCTTAAGTCGCCTTCATTCAACACAAGGATCTGTGCAGTGCTTAAACAAACCCATAAATCTACATTTATGCAAATGCACTCAGCGGAGGAGCCAATACATATCCACAAAAGAAGCTGACACCCAGATACGCAGCTGTTAAATACTCAGCCGTTTCAGTTCAGAACATGCTCTACACCACGAGGCCGCTTCATCTGCAACCACACCTGAGAAGGCAGGCAGCCAGCAATGCAGACACACGTTCAAGCCGCACATTATGCCATTTTGTCAGATGAGCACTAGTGTTAAAACAATGTACCACTTGCTTATGGAAAAAAGCCACCCGGAATAGTGGCTTTCAGCTTTTTCTATTTTTTTTCCTGGGGAGGTGGAGACTGTTACCTAGTGATTTCAAGCTTACTGACCAGTTCCCTTGGGCTGCGTGTGCATCGGAGAGCCGCGCAGCGCAGTAAAGGCGAGCTGCAGAGGGAAACCGTACGTATGCAGGACCCAACATCCACACCACGTGCATGTGGAGGGTGTTATTTCTGGCTAGCTGCAGCCTGGTCCTGTGGCCTGAATCCATCCAGAGGTGAAGTGTACCAGCTCATGCACTTGCAGAGCACTTCCTGGGACAGGCTGTCCAAAACCATGTTTGCACTCCAGCCAGGCTGGACCAAATCATAGCGAATGGGGGCAACCAGAAGATTCACCTCCAAAGAGGACATCTGATCATCAGAAAACACTCAGAGACGCACATCCTTAGTTGCCTGTTGAAGGTCTCCAAGAAGCAGTCAGAGCATGCCCGCAAGTGCACATAGCACTGTGCTGAAACCTACTGATCTAGAAGGACCTTATCTTCAGAAATGTTAGTGGTACAGAAATACTATTAGCCCTTCAGATATGCTTTAGGGTTTCAGTCCACTGTGACTGCATATTTCCATGAAGCAGTCTCTCTTCATTGTGGCTCTGTCCTGCAGTCCATAGACATTTTAATCTTTTCATCTTCCTGGAGCATATTTTCATACCCTAAGAATAGGCTCTCTGTTCCACTTCTGTTTATGGCACCTCACACGACCTAGCTCTTCTTCTAAAAGTACCTTAAAAGCACACTTCAGTACAGTCTGGCCCTCTATCCTCTTTATTTCACTCAGCATGGTCCAATCTTGTAACTGGAGGACAAAGACCACTTCAAATTTATGGGAAACATCCATTAGTGAAGCTAGACTTTATGAGTCATAACAAAAATCCATCAGACTTTGGCAGTCCTAAAATCGGCTCACTTTTCCTTTGGCGACTAAGGCAAATATAAGACTCTAAATATTAGGCATCTAGCTGCAAAAAAAACCCCACAAATAATTGGCACAGCTTTCTCTTGAAAGCTAAAATTTATCATTTGAAAATATGAGAGAGTCAAACACACGATCCCAGCAACTCTACCATGGTGAACACATGTCAAGGTCCCAGCAAAACACGATTGGTAGAGCTGGGCTGCTTCTGTGATGGAGACACAACACAGGTCCATTTTCCAGCCTTGGGTAGTCTTGGTGAGTTTCATCTCCTGCAACTTTAGATATCAAAAGCCATCATTTGAAATAGCCACAGGCATGTGTGAAGTGTGACACATGAGATGAGAATCGGAGGTGAGTTTCTCTCCTTTGACAGTACAGGGGGCTGGACAAGCAGCTCAGCTCCAGGCAGCTGTATCTTTGCTCTCCAGATGCGAAACAGAGAACACTGGGTTTGCTCTCCAACACATATTTAGACTGCAAACCCTGTATAAGCCTTCACAATGAATACTGCCTCACAAAA